AGTTCCAACTTTTTTTTAAGCACTAAAGAGGAAAGTTTAATTTTAATGTACATTCTTAAAATGCTCTAAAAAACAATATTTAGGTACATCAAAAGAAACAAATCCGAATTATATAAAAAAGCAACACCTATTATTATATAGAAAATAAAATGATATTCTCACTTTTTTTTCTTTTTGCCCTTTGTTTTCATCATATTTTTCATAAAAGATGGAGGCTGTGGGAAACGATTGGATAGTATAATATTCAGAGAACGAACTATATCAGTGGTTGCACCTTCATTTCCCTGAATCCAAAGTGTGTGTACATGATAATTTATGTGGTCATTTTCTTGAACTAAAGGTTTTGATTCAATAAAATCCGATTTTGATGTTTCCTCTTGATTATTGTGTGTCGAAGCACCTTCTGTATCTACTGTATACGATGAGTCTAATACTTGCATCAATTTCATCATTCCTATCATGGTAATTTTATTCCATCGCAAATTAAGAGTTTTCATAGTTGGGGAAGTTATAAGCGCTTCAGCTATTTGAGAAGCACCAATATCACTGATACCGTTTGATGATGCGTGAAAGGTTTCAAGATGATCAAACGATTCGGCAGCTGCGGACGCTCCCTTATCGCCAATGCAATTACAATTAATATTCACGTATCGAAGAGCAGTGTTATGCTTAATTAGATGGAAGAATTTCTGTGCCACATCCTCTTGTATGTCACAGAACGAAATATCAATAAATGTTACTGTTCTATTCAGATTAAGCTTTCTCCCCAATATTAAACATTTCTCTGAGCCAAAAAATGATCTAGATAGATTAATTTTTGTACCACGAGGTGGTGGGGGATTGTTATAATCTGCAATAAGAAGTGCTAATTCTTCACTAGGTCTTAGATGGAATTTGTTTTTTAGTGAATGATTTTCTTCCTTTTTTAGAGGTTCACTTTCTATTAAGTAGATTGCCTCTTCAAATGAATTTTGGACTTTCATTATCAACCCTATAGCTTTAAATAAACAACAAAAGCAACAACAGAGACAAAAAGTGTCAGAGATCATTTCATTGAAAAAATCAAGTAAGTCGAGTGCACAAAATATTTAGGGCATTCGTTAACGCAAAGAGTTAAAAACTGATCAAATCAACGAGTCAGGGCCCTTTGAATTTTTTCATCCCTCCCCAGCTTCGAAGATCAGGGAAAACACAAAAACACCACACATTAGCCAGCGGTACCTTTAATAAACTATAGAACCAGCGTTTGAATTCTTATTTAAAAGATGGATAAAAAAAAGCGACGTTCACGCCATCAAATTAAATAAAAAACTCGATTTAACATTAAAAACCCTTAAAAGCGCCCTAAAACGGGGACTCAGTATCAAGTTGATTAAAAAAACCTACCGAAAATTCACGCAAACCCCTCCGATTCCCCTCTCTCCCCCCCCCCC